CTGATATGACAGAGTGGGAATAATATCACTGAACGCAATGGACAAATCAACTAAAGTGCTAGATACGATTATCAATTCCTTCAAGGTTGCAGATTCGCCTTGTTGACTAATGACTGCCAACTAGCACGAAACCTAGGTCAGGCTGGGCTTCCTGCCAGTTGCCTTCAACCATCTAACATCAACAATTCAAGGTGCATCGTGATGGCGAGCCACCTAGAATGGTGGCCACATTGCAAACGTGACTGACTGATAGAATTCAGTCTGCACCAAAGAAAGGACTAGACACATCACACTAGTTACTAGTGTCCAATCAAAGTGCCGACTACAGTCCTAAAGGAGGTCAATCGCGAGTCCAAATAGCTCAGTGGTAACATCTCTGACTGCTGGTAACACTAGGTGACGCGGGTTCGAATCTCAGAAGGACATCCGTTCCTTCAGGTGCAGATACGCCTTGCTGACTGACTGGTGAGTGCCAGCTAGCACGAAAATTAGGTCGAGCAAGGCTTCCTGTAGCCGATTGCCTCCAACTATCTAACATAATTCCATTATGGGTAAAATTTGTTCCGATAAAGTCTTACAGTAATGTTTACTGATGACGTTTTGAGCACAATTTATTGCTCATAATCATGTCAAGGTACTCACACAAATCACTCAGGGACAAGCTCTGTAGGCTAAAAGACCTGATGGACCCGATTAGACAAAATAATATAATTTACAAAATACCCTGCAATGGCTGTGAGTTAAGTCAACTACATAGGTAAGGCAAACTAGTAGGTCGGCGGTAGGCAGATTGTCAGAACAAAAGAATTTAGCTAAGGTATAATGGTTGACCCCGAGAAGATAAGTAATTTAGAAAAAAGCGCAGCAATTTCACTGTATGCATTAACACACAACCACACAATAGGGTGTGAGAGGGTTAAAATTCTAAAAAGTAATCTATGTAGGTTGAGAGAGGGATTGATTACTGAATCCTTGTTCATCGAATATACACCCAACAAATGCAACAGGAATGATTCATCACTCATACCGCAAATATGGAAAATACTACTACCAATCAAATCAAGCGATGGGAAATAATGAAATTATTAAAGGAAGTTAGAAAGTTGTGTGAGTACCTTGATATGACTATGAGCAGTAATAAGTTATGCTCGAAACGTGGTCATCAGTAAACATTACTGTATAACACTGTGAAACCTTATCAAAACAAATTTTACCCACAATAGAATTATACTCAACCACAGTGCACAAAATTTACTCTTCTATCTAATATCATCCAATCAATGCGCACCGTGGTGGCGAGCTACCTAGAATGCTGGCCACATTGCAAAATTCACTAACAGAGTCCAGTCTGCACCAAAGATATGACTAGACGTATTACACTGGTCCCTAGCTGTTGTCCAATCAAAGACCTTAGTACCTTCCGCTTCACCGAGCCAGGCGTTAAATCTAAAAACAAAGTTTGGCCTCTGACTGTTGGGACACGGAATTTTTTTAATCAAGGAAAAACACATTAAATTTATGCATTTTTCAGCCATATTAAAATTCGGCCAGATCAGGGAAAAACAAAACATTCTGATTGGTTCGCGGATGGCCGAAGGTTAGGTAATGAGATGAAACGTTGTCCAGGGAGGCTATTTAATGTTCATACCCAGATATGAGAAATAAACACTTCCACCTCTGCAACTATTGACTTAAGTTATTGATTTCAGTTTTAGACGCTTCCTATCGTGATTATTATTGTTCCCTTGGGTTCCTAGTGGAACATAGGGCTCCAACTACAAGTCTCCACTTGCTTCTGTCTTCTGCTGTACTTTTCACCTGCATCCATGTTAGTCCATATTGTTTCAACTCCTATTCACACGATCTCCTGCATGTACCCACACTTGGACGTCCCACTCCCCGCTTCTATCCCGGGTTCCACTCGAGTGATGGCCTGACGCGCGATGTCACCCAGCGGCCTCCTCAGCCAGTGAGTGTCCAATCCATCTCCACTTTCTCCTGCATATTTGTTGGGCGATTGGTTCTTGTTCTGCTTGTTCCTTGTTGGTTCTTGTTCTTTCTGGCCATCTAATCTTCAGTATAGAACGAAGACAGCTGCTGATAAAGGTGTGCAACCTGTTGGAAATATTTTTGGTGACTCGCCAAGTTTCTGATCCGTATAGAAGAACTGACTGACTTGACGTTTGTATTGAAAATCCGAATTTTGTTGATGATGCAGGCTGAGTGACGAAGATTTCCAGATTGGTTTCAGGTTGATGAATGTGTTTCTCGCCTTCCCGATTCTCGATTTCACATCCTCGTCCGTTCCACCTGTAGTTGAGACAATGCTCTCTAGATAAGTGAATGAAGTAACCTCTTTCAAATCCCTCCCGTTGATGGTGATTGGCGCTGGATGTTGGTTATTTTCATAACCTCCGTCTTGTCTATGTTCACCTGCAGTCCTGTCTTTGCTGCTTCTTCGACCAGTTTGTCGGTTTCCGCTTGTAAGTCTTCAATTTTGTGTGACATCACACATAAATCATCCACGCGCGAAATCCAGGTCTTCTAGGCTGTTCATGTCAGTCCAGGATATCCCTGTCTTCTCGTTTCCCACTGTCTGATGCATAATCCAGTCCACCACAATTAGGAATATCATTGGTGGTAGTAAGCACCCTTGTCTGGCACCTGTGTTTACTCCAAACGCTTCGCTGAGTTTTCCGTTGTGGATCACTTGACATGTGCCGCTGTCAAAGAGCGTTGTGAAAATCGCCAGACTGGCCGTCATATCGTAAGCAGAGGTGTAAACACGTTGCGTTTACAAATAAATGTCCTATTACTTCAGTTTTCGCCCAGACAAACGAATATGAGCCTGGTAGTAGAAACGCTAAGTTTACCGTTGATATCTATCGAGTAAAAATACTGCTAGCTAGTTGGGAAATTATTCCCCAATATAAGATATGAGTGAATTTTAATTCGATAGACAGACTGCATTAAGGAGTATCTATTAGCTTTCAATCAATAAAGTCAAAGTGACGAAATGATGAGACAGTTTCTTGTGTTGTTATCACTTTCAGAACACCCCAGAAGTTGAGTAAAACAAAAGTATAAATGACTGAATATATTCTTCAGCAACCAATCGTAATTCCATGCAGTTATCAATAAGGAACATCTACTACTACTACTCTGGTGAGAGCTGGCTGCTATCCAAAAGTTGGTAGATAGTAATTGACGTCAATGTTTATGTCCCCATTATTGGTGGTGAGAAAACGAGAACAAAGGCTTTGCGTAGGGGGGTACAGTTAGAAAATGGATGATCTGACACAGCCACAAAGAGATGCAAGGTTAACTTTCTGTGAGAAACAACCAATCAAAAGACTGTATTTTCTACTAATAATAATCTACAATAATGTACATTAAAATCTATAAATATGTGTTGATTTTCCTTAATAAACGATCTGTTGCCTGGCCTTTGTCTTCTGTTGTTACACTACTACCACCCGGGGTTGTGTCGGTGACATAGTAGTTAGGACTCTCGCCGACCATGCGCATGCTCCGGAGTTAGATCCCCTGCCGTCGCACGCCTGATATCTATGGTCGGCCTGCAAAATTTGGGCTACCGATATCACATGCTGAAAATTCCATACCTGTACCGAAACATACAGTGTGGAATCAAGCTGTAATCAGGGTTCTAACCACTGATCCACTAGTTTTGGAAGTTAAGCGCCCGACACACAGTTGTTCAAAAGCTATGCATCAATTCTATTAAAGAAACTGGAATTAATCTCACCACAGGAGGATCAGGCAGGACCCCCTCTGTTCTGGTGACTGAGCATTTTGAATACTTTATCGGACTTAACTTTCACAAAACGCACACAAACACAAAAACCAAACGCAGCCTAACTACCATCGTTGAAGGCATGCTGGCTGGATTTCACATAGAACTTGGCACTGAAGTGCAGCAGTTCGAGTTGCCACGTTCCAAATAGCACACAAAGGTAAACAAGAAGATGAGTGAAGAGAATCAATAGAGTTTTGACAAGTATTAAAGTGAAACAGAATGAGTAGTGGAAGAAAGGAATATGAAAGATTACAGAGACTGAATACATCTGAGTAAGCCATTGACAATGATTTTAAGCCATGTCACCTATTGTCTCCAGCCATTGATTCTCAGAGTCCCGAGGGCCCCAACCCGGAAGTCTGCATCTCCCTACCTGACTCAGTTTAACTGTCAAGGATTTCATGGATTGATGCCATGTTTTTGTTTGGCATGGCACCATTTACTCTTTTCCAACCTGCACCTATATCAGCTAGTAGTGCCCGTCGGGGGAGGCAGTGGTTAGGCATGCGCAGCACGTCACCTAGCCATCTCAATCTATGTAACTTTATAGCCTCGTCGATTGATTTTCCCTCTTTGCCCAACACTCTACGCCTAACCTAACGTCAACATTACTTACCTTATTATACCACCTAACGTGAGAAAGAGATCGTAGACATCTATGATCGAAAACAGTTAACCTTTTCATGTCTTCAACTCGTATTGGCCATGTTTCAGAGCCATAGAGAAGGACGGAGCGAACTGCTGAGCAGTACACACGTCCCTTGGTTGATAGTCGGATGTCACGTCTACGCCAGAGATGGTGTAAGTTAGCGAAAGCAGCTCGAGCTTTTTGAATCCGTGGTGAGATTTCGTCACCAATCAATCCGTTGGTGCTGATACAACTTCCCAAATAGGTGAAGTGGTCAACATGTTCTATCACTTCACTCCCTATCACTAAGCTAGAAGTTGACGTAGTACAGTCATTCCTGTAGCAGCATCTTACATTTTACAGGGTCGAATTGCATGTCAAACATACGAAGATTGCTGCTCAAGGTTTTCAGAAGTCTCTGCATTCTGTCAGCATCCTCCCCTTACAGGACTATGTCATCTGCATATTCTAAGTCCATAAGACTATTCTCTGTTGTCATGCGTTGAAACCATGACAACAGACAGACAGACAGACAACGAGACGGATTTCAACAAACACTTCAGGTAATATATATTCCAAAGCAAGCTAACAATTTCATATTGACAAACAATTTATATCACTGAGGGTATATATATGTATTCAAAGCTGAATATATATTTACTAGTCTGAATTCACAGAAAAACTAAAAGAAACCAAGTGTACAATCATATGAACTGTAGAATAAATTTTAGAAAAAAAATAATCGAATAGCAATCATAATAATAATAATAGTAATAATAATCATAATAAAGAAATCGAATAATGAGAGGGTATTGTGAAGTGAAATTTTTTTTAACAAAAAAAAATTAGAAACTGGAAGTCAATATCTCCCATACCTGGGGAGAGTGGGTGCTGGGGGGAGTCGGAGAGGGTTTCATTGGTCCACATATGTGTATATATTATATTGAATTCAATATTGAATTTTTTTGGAAAACAGTGACCAAAAGATCATGTTTCAAAAGGCATCTGGAAAAAAAATATATATATATATAGCCTGGAAAGACAACGTCGGTATGTGCTTGTTTCTCTGAGAAAAAATTACAAAATAGAAAACAAAATAGAAGGAGAGGAGAATAACAGTTTACATGGTGACAGAGAGAGAATTTAATTGTGTTTCACTAATCAACTGTCGCTGTTTCCCTTTTTCATAAGCGCGCATCTACTACACACAGTAAATCGCATAAATTTTAGAAAATTAACCGAAATATTATTATTAAATCTTTCCTTAAATAGAGATAGATAATAATGATAATAATAATATAATCTGTATGATTTTGTGTGTAAACTACTGAAAGCCAGCTTGAAATAACCGCGAATGTTTTTATTAAAAAAAATAAAATAAAAGAAACACAGCAACGATAAAATTATTTTCAAGGTATTACTGAGTAAATAAAAGTTAATGTTAGAAAAAAAAATTATAAATTAAACACAGAGCGCAAACATAGGAGTAGAATCACCCACCCCCCTCGGCAAAAAAGTACATAAATCGAACGTTGTACATATATATATATATATATATATTGCATGTGTGCTTCTTATGTAAGCATTGAGGAAAGACTACGTACACACTACTAAGTTAATCAATCAGGCTCGTTGTTTGGTTATCATCAAGGTAAAAGAAAGAAGCGTAAAGCCACTTTAAGAAATTCTGTGTGTTTACTCTTTTCAGTAAGTTAGAAAAGTAACAGGCCAGAAGAGAAAGCAGTGTACTGTATGTTTGTGTGTGTGTGAATAAATCTGAAGATTCGATGAAATCAGAACCGGTGGTTGTGCGTTTAATCAATCAATCAATCAATCAGAGGCTTCATCGCTTGCCTCTCCTCCTTTCTCTACATTTTTAGCAGCTGGCTTACCGTTCTGAGCTAAACGCCCATATAGGTGTAATGATGTGTCTTGAGTCCCGAGTGCGACAGATGATCGTTTACGACGATTTCGACCATTATGTCCTTTATTATCAGATGGAGAATCTGTGTTCCCATTATGATTGTTCATCAGCTTGTTATTTACAACATGTGGACGATAGTCACCTGGAGTGAATGGATCATTATTGTCAACACGTAGTCCAATTTTATTGACATAAGCATTGAATTCTTCTGACGTTTGTGCATAGACTTGATGTCCAGCGCCTTCAATCACCTAAATATATATACATATATATGCAGATTACAGTGGAGAAAATGTTAGGATTCATTGATATATCTTAATAGAAATGCATGAACTAATAATAATAATAGATTTACAATTATAAGTGTGCTCTGAGCTGGTTGGTTTAGTTGCGAAGCTTTCGTCGTCCCCCTTCCAGACAACATCCCCTTTCAGCGCCATATTTAGCATAAAGTGAAATGATTTAAATTTCTTCATGAGTGGTGATAGAATTGCGTCTCCCGGTAACCATCTTTACATATGGATTGACCATTTTCTATTCACTTGGATTTTAAACTTTCTGTTCACACAGGATTTACTTTTTATTAGTTGGTATATTTCGTCTATATTAACGTGCTTGTTAATTGCATATTCGTTTGAGTACCAGGCTTCTAGGAATTCCCTGACTGCACTTTTGGTGTTTCCTCTGTCTAAGATTTTGACATTATCCCAATCAAATTGATGTCCATAATTGCCTATATTTTTGATACTAAAGAATATATATCGTGTCTTTTCACGGCTGATTTGTGTTCTTGGATTCTAATTCGAAGACGACGCCCACTTTGGCCGATGCAATGCTTGTTGCAGTTCATACAATATATTTTGTAAATGGTATTAATTTTATCCAACAGAAAAATTAGGACCTGATGATGAAGTTATCGAAAAGAATATTCCTTGTACAGTATTCATTCCTTTGAAAAATTATAAAAACTTCAGGAGTACACCTTGTAAACAAAGGAAACCACTCAGGAACAGTAGTCTCATATACTGGTACAAGCTGCAATCGAGGATTATGTTTTTTCACATATTCAGTAGAAACTTGTAAATTACAGCAGGTTGTAGGCGTTTTTAAACACTCGCCAGAGTAAACAGTGCTGTTAAAGGTTATATTTTACTAGATTTAAACAGATTGGATAAGAGGAATTATATTCCAGCATATTAATGGAGGTTGTTTTTGGTAGCCCGAGTTTTAAGCAGCCCGTCAAGGATATTGGGAAGAAACAACCACTCCCATTATAAATAAAATATTTCGTAATATTGGCAGTACAAACCAAAGAGTTGTACTGAGCAGAAATGTGAGAAAGAAAGAACAGTAATTTATATATGTCCAAACCAAGTTCACTTTTAACGGTTTGAAAAAATTTGGGCATTGAGTATATGATATTCATTATTTGTTGTATTTCCCAACGAATGAAAATACAAAACGATATTGTTGTTTTTACTGACGTTTCGCTATTTAATGCTGCTTCTAATAGCTTCATCAAAGTGGGAATATTAAACCAGAATTTACAAAATCTCAGCATATATATAAGAACTTAATCATCGTTCCTCAGTATGGGGTCATTTTTGCGTTGTTAAATTGGCCATTTGGTAAAGATAACAAAACCAGGTGTAGATACTTGGATTTGTGTGTAAAATTATAAAAACAGCGTGTGTTTACATAATGAAATTGCTTATCACATTCGTGTTGATTTTGTCATTTCATGGGGAAGGGAGGTGTTGTAACCGGGTCAAATTCTGTTTAGTTCATCATTCCTATTCAGGCAACTTGGATTCCATTTGATATGAAGTGCTTCTGATGATATGAGACATTCTTTCTGATTTCTGAAATGTTTTTTCTGGATTATTTCAATATTGTTAAAATCAAATTTGTGGCCTGATTCTATAGCGTGGCGTAAAGACAAGCTATGGCTGATGATTTTTCAAGCTTTTCTAGTTCACTCACTGGATTTCTCGGTGGTCGAACAGATGTTCTACGGTGTTCATTTGTTCCGATTTTCATTTCTCCCTGGTGAGGTTTTTCCGATGTATATCGCATCACATACCAAGCATTTTATTCTATAGACACAATTAGATAGAGAATCTTTAGGGATTAGGTCCTTTATATGGACAAGGTTGTTTCGTAATGTGTCTGATGTTTTGAAGTAAACTCTTGAGTACTCTTCTGATATCGTCTGGTGTCTCCACTCTATATGGAATGACAAATGTTGACGTCCATTTTTTCGGAATGCGTTTTCGACCATACTTGTCTGTGTTGAATTTGTTGATGAAGTTCATTGGGTAGTTGTTTTGCTTGAGAGTTCCAGTAATGTTTGATATTTCTTCTTCTTTTTCTTACTCATCCGTTACCAGTGAGTGTGTTCGTCTAAGAAGACTTGAAACAACTGATACCTTTGCGCTGATGGGGTGTGATGATCCGAAGTCTAAATATTTATTGGAGTGGGTTTTCTTCCTGAATACAGATATACTAAAATGTCCATTTTCCCTCCTCTTAACTAGGCAGTCTCGAAATGGTAGTTCACCGACGTCTGATTCTGCTTCCGAAGTAAACTGGATTCTGGGCGATGGATTGTGTATTTTCTCCAGGAATGAACTATGTAAATCTCGTTTGAGAACTACAAAAGTATCATCTACATATCTGAACCATATTTTTCGGAGTGAGTATGCTTGAAAAGATGTTATCTTCGAATCTATTCATGAAAAGATCGGCGACTATTGGGAACACTGGTGAACAGTAACATCGCAAAAGATTAGGGTTTACTAAATGGATATGCGAGATTAGAAAGAGTGAATGCATCTTCGCCAGACATTGAGAACGATTTTCAACTATATCTCCAATAATCTCCAGCAACTCACTGGGTTTTACCATCCTGACAAACCCAACTAACCAAGAAGTCTACGCCTCCCTGTTATGCATTCCGTTGACTGCTGCCCTGTTTTGGTTTAATGGCCAAGGAATAATTCTTATTAATACTTATGGTGTCATTAATTGCCTCAATATAAAAAGTGTTCTTAGTCGAAAAATTTCTACAACTCCACTTTCTTCTAGTTAACTTTAGGTGAACGCCCATCTAGAGAAAAGAACAACACCGGATGACTCACATTTTAAACAAAAGTGGGGTAAAATTTATCTGCTGTCAAAATGATTTAAAATCTGGGGCAACTATGTATTGATTTAGGCTTTATAGCACCATAATAATTGTAAGTCAACACAAGAAACAGTATACTGAAGGCTACTCATATAGAAGCACATAAGTACCGATATCTTTTGCTAGTGATAGAGCACACGACATGCTTGGATACTTTTGTAACTCTCAACCAATGAAAATAAATTTTTTTTTAAAAAGGAGTTTCATGTCTTCGAGGTGAAGAGTTAGCAACCCGCTTCAGATAAGCAAGTATCAAGTGGATGGGAACGCCTTACCATCCACAGATCAATAAAGTTGACACAGGAAACAGAAGCGATATATCCTGAAAGAATTCATGACCGTCAAAGCAGTCAGGTGTGACGTTAGCCCTGACATTGTCTTACTGCGTGTGTGTGCAAGTAACAGACAAAGAAATTTCCATTCCAGCTGATGTATGATCATACCACTGAGAGTATTATACAAAAACGGAACACAAACGAGGAACAGAGTGGAGCACAGTAATGCGTTTGAGGAGGTAAATCATATTGTCGAGAACTGTTCAGTAATTAGTCTAAGTTATTTTTTCATTATAGCTTGATTCCACGACGTAATTTTTGGTACAAGTATGGAATTTTCAGCATGTGATATCGGTAGCCCAAATTTTGCAGGCTGACAATTGATATCAGGTGTGCGTCGGCAGAGGATCGAACCCCGGACCATGTGCATAGTCGGCGAGAGTCCTAAACACTGTGCCACCGACGCCATAAAGTTTATTTGCCGGTCCTAAACGGAGAAAAATAGTAGGGAAGATGGAGCGAGGAGCTTTGCCAACCTATTTCGAAAAATCAATCCAGTCACTACAGAAACTTCAAAACACAAGGAGAGAGGGGAAATTCGTCGGTTGTTGGAAGCCTTCTGAAAAGTTAGTCAGTCAGTCAACCGATATGTTTTAGACGAAGTCAAACGCTGTTCCAAACAGAACCCGAGGGAATAATATACAGTAAAATTATTATTATTGTTCCTTTGGGTTCCCACTGGAACATACGGCTTCAACAACACATCTCCGCTTCAGGTGGCTCAACGATTGTCCAAACTCTCTCATCTCGCCCTCACACGATCTCCTTCATGTCACAATAGGACGACACACTCGTCGCCTCCCGTTTGGATTCCATTCGAGGGCCTGGCGCGCGATGTCATTCGACGGCCTCCTTAATGTATGCCCAATCCATCTCCATTTTCTCCTACAAATTTTTTGAGCAATCTGCTCATAGGCGGTTTGTTCCCAGCCACAGTTTTTTGTTACTAATTCTTTCTGGCCAGCCGATTATCGGTAGGGAGCCAGCGAAGGAGGCATCTGTTGATGAAAGCCTGCAGCCTGTTGAAAATCCTCTTCGTTACACACCGTGCAAGTTTCTGACCCGTAGAGAAGGACCGACTCAACATTGATGTTGAAAATCCGAATCTTGTTCCTTATGCTACGGAGTGTAGAAGATTTCCAAACTGGTTTACAGGTTGAATGTCTGTCTGTCTGTTTTCGACATAGAACTTTGCACCGATGTGCGGCAGTTCAAGTCGCCACACTCACCACATGTAGCACACAGAGCAAGAAAAGAAGAAAGTAGGAGAAATGCATAATATAGGCAGTAAACAGAGGTGTCAGACAAAGGTATAGTAATCACGAAGAACAAAACAGTTTAATTGGAAATCATAAGTCACAAGGAGTGCAGAACGATTTTGAGCCATGTCACCAATTGTTTCCAACCATTGGTTTTTACCGTCCCGAGGACCCCACCCAGTCAGGAAGTTTACACCTTCCTACGTGGCTTAGACTAACTGTTGTAGATTTCATTGACTGGTGCCATGTTTTCGTTTGACCGCCACTAGCTTTTTTCCAACCTGACCCTATATCAGCTAACATTGCCCGTCGAGGAAGGCGATGACTAGGCATACATAACACACCTCCTAACCACCTCAGTCGATGTAATTTCACAGCCTCGTCGATTAATTTCCCCCTCCTTACCTAGCACTCAACGCCTAACCTCAATATTGCTCGCCCTATTATACCACTTCACACGGGAGAACCTA